GAGGGTTTGGATTATTTGTTAGACGTGCTTATTGATACTTGTAATTTACTTAACTTTTGCATCAATTTACAGCAGAGAGGGAGTATACAGTCATGTAACCCTACATGTATCGCTTGAAGTGAGCACCAACTTTTAGTTCTTAAACGTTTTCTTCATGCACTGAGCAATAAAATTATAGTATGTTGTAATTTAATTTTATATTTTGATTTCTTTTTCATCAGTTTTTTAATTAATGTAGAGCTACTTACAATGCAATGCTTGTTGATGGCAATTCTATGAGATACTAGTATTGAGAATATGTATTAAACTAATAATCTAGCATATATAGCATATATAGATAGTATTAAAGGACTTTTACCATTAAACTGTACTACCAAACTAGTACAACCTTATTGTATATATTTGTTTGTCAATTTTGAGGACAAATGGCCAGCAATCAAGAGCAAATGAGTTGTCATGATGGAGAGCCAATAAGATACAAACCAACGTTGGCCTAAAATTGATGTTTTCCTAATATTGAAAGAATAAGTGGCCCAACAATGGCTCAATAATATCCGTTCGTTGGTACAACAATAAGCAAACAAGTTGGTCTGATTAAGGGCCGATGAGCAAATTACCGTTGGCCCAACATTAATTGCTAACAATGGCCCAACTGTACAAAAATGACGTTTGCCCAACATTGAAAAAAATACATTGGCCCAACAGTGGCCTAATATTAACTGTTACATTGGCCCAACAAAAAGCCAACAAGTTGGTTTGTTTAAGGGCCGATGAGCAAATTACCGTTGGCCCAACATTAATTGCTTACAATGGCCCAACTGTACAAAAATGATGTTTGCCCAACATTGAAAAAAATACATTGGCCCAACAGTGGCCTAATATTAACTGATACATTGGCCCAACAAAAAGCCAACAAGTTGGTTTGATTAAGGGCCGATGAGCAAATTACCGTTGGCCCAACATTAATAGCTTACAATGGCCCAATTGTACAAAAATGACGTTTGCCCAATATTGAAATAATACATCGGCCCAACAGTGGCCCAATATTAACTGTTGCATTGGCCCAATAATGAGCCAACAAGTTGGTTTGATTAAGGGCCGATGAGCAAATTACCGATGGCCCAATGTTGAATGCAAACGGTGGCCCAACATAAGGAGCATTGTTGGCCCAACAAAGGTCCAATAACATTCTGCTATCTGGGATATTGCATTGTCAATTGCGAAATAATGCTGGTAATCTTCTTCTCAAGAACCACTGTGCCACGAAAGGTGAAACTTATATAGAAGCATCCTCAGATTGTGTAGATTCAAGATTGTTAAATTATAACCCCCGGGGATAGGACGGGGTCACAATGACCGATCAAATTTTTACATAGAAATATATAGGTAAATTCTTAAAAAATCTTCTTCTCAAGAACCACTGTGCCAGGAAAAATGAAACATATATGAAAGCATCCTCAGGAAGTGTAGCTTCAAGTTTGTTCAAATTATGACCCCCGACGTAGGGCGGGGCCACAATGGCCGATTAAAGTTTTACATAGATATATAGGGAAATTCTTTAAAAATCGTCTTCTCAATAATAACAAAGACATGAATGATCATATTTATATGGAAGCATCCTCAGGTAGTGTAGATTCAGCTTTGTTCAAATCATGACGCCCAGGGGTAGGGCGAAGCTTCAATGGCGGATCAAAGTTTACAAAGAAATTTATAGGGAAATTCTTGAAAAATCTTTTCAGTAATAGCAAAGCCATGATTAGTCATATTTATATGTGAGAATCCTTAGGTAGTGTAGATTCAAGTTTGATCAAATCATGACCCCTGGGAGTATGGCGGGGGCATAATGTAAGTTCAAATGTAAAGGGCAATAAAGCCACAGATAGTTTAAGAAATATGCAAGCATCCGTAGTTAATGTATATTCAAGTTTGTTCAATCCATACCCTCCCCACTTTAACACCCTTCCCCGCAGTCACGCATTTTAACGCATATACCATTTCCTATTTCTAACGCAAAATCACGCATTTACCGTTTCCCCGCAATCACGCATTTTCACGCACTTTAAAAAGTTCATGTAATCTTCAATTTATTGCCAAATTACAACTATTTTATACTTGCTTGAATCTCATTAAATAAGAAAATTTATTTTCTAATTAAAATATTATTTCAAAATATTATTTACCCTAAACTTTAGAGAAATTTGTACCCCGCTATAAAGTGCTTGCGGGGAAATGATAAAGTAATATTTCTATGACGCGAGGATTCAATGTATGTTGCATAGCAATTCTGTAAGTTGTAAAGAGTCAAGGATTGGTTGGGACCACTTTTGGGTTTGAACTTTAATAATTAACTGATTTCTGCTTTTTTTCAAGCTACAGTGCCCAGGTGAGCGATGTGGCCAGTGGGCCTCTTGTTTTGTGTTTTTGCAATTTTTTCCTCTTGTCAGTCCTTGGCCGTTTTTGTCAAATGCATATTTGTAAATTGTAAATTGTAAATTTGTTTTCAGAGTTTAAAGCATTGAATTCAAGTTCCATTATTGTTTGAATTTCAGACATAGGTGGTTAACTACAATTTTTGATTTTTTTAAAATAATTAAATAGATATTCTTACACGCTGTGGTTTTCATTCATTTTTCAAAACATAGGGTGACCATCGAGTACTAAGAATTTTTTACAGTGAAATATTTCTTTAAAACAGTGTAAACTACCACCAACTGAAGCCTATCAATTTTGTTATGTGTCTAAAAGTCAATGAACATCATCAGTGATAATTTGTTGAATTTTGTCAAACAGAACATTGATTGTTGTAAATCCTTGTCGCCAAGGACGGTACCCTCTTTTGATGACCATATATAATTTTTGTTCGTGGAAATTCACCTGCTCATGTGTATATAAAACAGAAACATTTGTTTCTGTAAATATTTCATATTTCAGTGAAAATTTCTTTGGGATTCTTAACGAGTTTTACAGCAGTTTTAATGACACGTTTAATTTCACTCTAGTTAACTGATTCTTAACCATTCATTTTTAATGTTTCGAATAACCCTTGTTTTCCAGCTTCTCGCAATAAAACTACGTGATTAAAAGTCGTCACATGAACTGTTATATATTTATTAAAGATTAAATCATGATAGAAAGTAAAGCTTGATGTCATATGACTTCTATGTTGGAGCTCAGGACATTTCTTATTGAACAGCTCTCTCAACATTTAGCTTGAAATTTTACTACAATGTTTTTGGAGTTCTTGAACGAGTTGTAGGGACAATGGAACACTTGATGTGAATCTTGTGATGAAATTTAATTTTGCATTTTTTTTTCCTTTTTTGAAAAAGCTGTAGAAATATCAAATGCTTTTATACACGTTATGTGATGAAGTTTATGGAGAATACGAACAGTATTCAATATCAAAGTCCATAAAACAATACAAAATAGGAGCAGAGCAAGCACGGACCTCCGAAACATCAGAGGTGCGCAGCATTGTTAAGGCTTGAAAAAGGGGGCGGAGCCTAATTTATACGGGAAAAGTTTACTGTGACGTCACACAAAAAAATTGACTTTTATGTATTTCTCATAATACATGAAAATGAAATAATTTGCAACTGTTAACTGTATTAGCATAATAAACAACAATAAAACTTATCAATGCATTTAAAAAACTTGCTAGTTAAATCCCATGTAGCTGGTTATAAACAAAGCACTCATCGCGATGAACTTGTAAACATGTCATTTTGCGTCATTTTGGTAAAAATGACGTATTTCATGTACTATGAGAGGCACATTGAGGGATTTTTTAACAATGAAAAATGCGTTTTATTATTAAACGGAATATTATTTACAGGTTTTAAATAGTCGATTAATATCAATGTATATCCTTTGTTTAGTGCGATTATTCATTAACTATCAAGATAATGTATTTTATTAATTATGTCGTGTTTTTATGAACAGGTTACGTATATTACACATCGAGATGCTTCATAAAATCGCACTTTCGCAAGGGCATACACTAAATAGATCTTAACCATTTTTTTTAATATAGATATAGGATATTTTTCTTAACTTGAAAAGTGCTGCTGCTTTCTTTAAATCGAAGGCGGGATTTGATAAGTACACAAAATATTTGGTAAAAGTCAAACAATTTTCGACATTGGCTTATTTACCTGAAAATTTAACCATTAAAACACGAATTCTATTCAAAGCAACAGCACTTTTCAGAAACTACAAAGTCTGCAGAAACAATTATTAGCTTGAATTTTTTTTTATTTCAACTAGGGTATGCCCTTGCGATATTGAAATTTGTTAATGACCTACATTCAGTACACATACTATGCTTTTATCACGTGACTGTCCATCGATGAGACCAAACTTTATACAGTACAGAGTGGGTAATACTATGCTATTTCCATAAGTATTCAAGTTCTTCGATAATAAAACAGCTTAATTAAAATAAATTCAATTTTTAAAAAAATCCCTCTTTCTGCACGTATATTTTCCGTTGATTTCTCACAGTAGGCCTTAACAGTGCTGCGTGGTACCAGGTGGCATGGAGGAGTGGGCATCAGTAAATCTCCTCATGAAATATTATATGGCTTGTGATGAAAGAACTGAAATCCAATGCTGTACATAACACATCTCTGATACGTAAAGTATTTGTATGCTAAAGTGACGACTGACCAAACACTATAAAAATTTGATAACAAGTATTCCTTCTCCCAGCGCTCTGCACATTAAGGTGAAAATAGCTGGTCCTTCGGATTAGACCGAAACAATTAAAACCCCGTGTTGCGTTGGCGCGATAAAGATCCCTCTCAGCTCAAAGTTCCCGGGTGTTTAGTCACGATCTTAATTTGAAACCCTTCACCGGCCCTGAGTATCATGTATAGGTTAAAATTTGTAGAACTTTCTTTTATGAAACTGGGGAAAACAAATACTTTTACTGTTGACAATTATCAAATGTGAAATAAAATTATGTAAAATAAAACAAAAATAGAGCAAGTTGGTGTGCTTAAAATGTTATATTACAATAATGTATTAAATGTATAAAATATAAAAAATAGAAGATATGTACATGTGTTAACTTATAGAGCATAATTACGGTTGTGCGCATGCAATCATGAAACCAAATGTAGCTAGAAATGAATGTACGAGACATAGATTATCAGAAGGATAGAAGTATAACAATGGGCGATTGTATTAAATTGGGGCATGGACACCCCATTTTTTTATTGTATGTTGTACGCAAGCTCTATAAAATAGTCAAATTTGAGCAAACAGCATCCTCATCTTATAGGATACCACTTCTTAAAAGTGGGTTGACAAGGCGGACAACTTTGGCCTATATCAGGACAATACTAAAAAGAATAGTAATGTTCAGCACTTATGATTCCTCTTCTTTATAATACACTTAATTTCTAGCAAGGCTAGCAATTATTTTCCTTTTCGGTATATAAAATGGGTTAAGATTAAATAAGATGAGATCAAGCATATGTCAGATAAATTATTCGGTGTTGGCACACAGGTTCAGTTAAGACTATAAAGGTTATTAGTGCAATTTCGACGCCGTTTCGACTGTTTATGATCATGAACTTCTCTGATATCAACTGTAAATGAATTGAGTGGTGGTTTAATGATAACACATTTATTGTCATTCACTTTTGAATGCCTAATGGTATTAATACATTAATTGTTTTCAGTAAATAAAACGTTTTTTATCATCTTAAATTAAATTTAAAACAATCAGGTACAGTAACTTTACTGTAACACTTTATTTATAAATTCCTCATTTCAGTTTTGGAAGCGATTGTGTGTGCATTAATGCAATTTTTTATCATGAGAGATTCTTAAATTTTTTCAAAAAGTTTTTTGGTATGTTCACTTGTTTTTATAGTTTAAGTCTTATAAGGACCTTTCCCGTATCAACAAATATCAACAATAATTCAATTTAAATTAACTGACGACTAAGGAAATTCATTCAAGAAACTACGCTTCCCTATAGGAATGGATGATTTACAGGGCTCTTAATATTTCGTCAACTTTAATTTTACCATTGAACTGTATATATTCTTGAATTGCTGTGGTTTGATGCTGATATATGCGATGTTCACTTTGAAAAGAATATCTTATACAGAGTAAATCTAATGAAAATATGTAATATACTTAAAGATGATTTGTATTGAAATATTTCCGTAGCATGATTGAGGTGGTAAGCCCAGCTTGCTTCTTTTCCTGTCAAAGAGACGCAACTAAATTGTTTATTTATGTTTGGGGTATGCAGTATTGCCGGCTGCCCATTGTTATGTAGTCCGACGTAGACAATACCTGCAAAGTGGAATAAAACATTAAATTTAAATGAAGTTTTTGTTTTAATATACATCAGGTCTTTGATTATTATGTTTGTTATGGTTAATACATTGAAATACATAATTTTTAGCAAATGCTAGAAAAAAAATAAAACATTACAACATATTTCGCTGTATTTAATAAGTTGTTTTAAAAAAAAATACAACTTATATGCAAATGTAATGTATTTCAAATATTTGAGGTTGAGAAATTTATAAGAGAGAAACGAGTCTTCCATTTTTCTAAAATATAAATTCGAAACAATGATGCACAGACATAAAACAGTATATAATATATAAATATGTATATAGATAAAACCTCTTCCTTTTCAATGTATTCCAGGTCGTATTCTAGAAGGACGTCTTCTTCTGCTCGACTTCTATCGTCGCCTTCTTTCCTTGCATGGTATATGTACATCTGATCAAATACTTGAGGATTTTCTATAAAGCCATGAGCCATAAGCAAATGTTTCCATGCCTCTTTGTTGAAAGGCTGTAGCGTGCAGCGTTTATGGTCCAACAACATCCTTAACCCGTTAGAATTTTCCATACTGTCAGCCTTATCTACTAACTGCACATGGTTTTCTGTTTTTTCGATGCAGGACTTTCGCCGAATATTGTAAAGGTTGGCAAAGTAAATATTTATGTAAGACTGCCGGCATTTTCCAAGGTAATCAATAAGAGCAGAGGCACATTCTTTGCACGGACTATTGTTTATGTAAACGTCAACATGCATTGGTATCTCTGTCTTCTTTACATATCGTTCCGTCAGCCGTTCAATCAGTGTTATCTCTGCATGTTTCCCATTAAAGTTTCGTATTGTTGTTGATATGCCATCGTTAGTAATGTAGATTAAGTAAGTTGTTTTAGCGCATTCCCAGTGCCCTGCGTGATTGAGTTCTGTTCTGAATAGGTTAGTGAACACTTTCATTTCTAAAAAAAAAAAAAAACAAAAACAAAAAGAAACAATCAAATTATGAACATGAAAAGGACGTCATACAGAGGATTTCATTTCATAAGTCTAGCTTTTATATATACATGATATACTTAAAACACTAAAAATGACGAACGATACGAACAATAAAATTACATAATATGAGAACGGAATATGCGTTGACTTTTTTTATGCATTTTTTTTCTTAGCTCTAATGTAAGATTGTTGATCCAAAAGTAATGTCACAAATTCGACACAATGGCTACTAGTCGACGTAAAACAAGAATATTATATTTATGCTCATCAACAAAAAAGCATTGATATAGTAAGAAATTGTCGCCTGAGGAAAAATGAAGTAAACAATAGAAACTCTCTTTATCATCAAACCGCTTGGATTTGTTAACAAAGACATGCCTCTGAATGATTGAGACTGCGGTGGAGATTGATTGATTGTTTGTTGTTTAACGCCCCCTTGAGAATTTTTCACTCATACTGAAACGCCATAGTTTGCCGGTGAAGGAATTCAAAGAACTATATGCGGTATGTTGCATATCGATATCTTTGCCCCCACAAAAGTCAAATTTTGAAAAATTCTTTAAATGTGGCACAGTGCTGAATTCTATAAATTTTATGAGAAATATAAATTAACAGAACATATATTATAGTTTCAAAGTAGTTTATTGACTATTTTTGTTTTTATGACGTCACAAACTAGTCCGATTTTATATCACTTTTTTGAAAGAGGACAAAATGGACAAAAATTCAACAATTTTAGCTTTCAAATTTATAGAGCGCAATTTTACTCAGAAACGATATTTACATATTTCATTGATATCATTCTACACATTATATCAAAATATTGAGCCTGATCAGACCTGGGCAAGGTGACTTTTACTTAAAATATCGATGTAATATATACACTTTTCTGAAGAAATCATAAAACTTTTTAATTTACGTCATTTTCGTCATTTCAAACATATGACGTCATTGCTTAAGAAAATATTCAGTGTTTTGAAGTCAGCATATATCCCCCTGTTTAAGAACCTAATAAATATATCTCCTTCATAAATTGATTGGGGGGGGGGGGGCAAATATTGGTTATTACCGAATAAAGTTCTTTAGACGTAAATACGGCATCCAGGGCTATTGAGCAGTGAGGGTTCTTTATCGTACCAACGCCTATTGTGATACGGTGATACCTACGCTTTTAAGGTGATATCCGAAAACCCCGTGACATTCACATACAGTGCCGAGCGCTTGGCGAAGGAACAGTTACTATCTATGTTTACGTCTCAGGTTTGAGGCGGCGCAGCAAAAGAGAATCGAGCCCGGGCTTCCCGATCACGAGACGGGTATGGTGGAGAAGATTTACGGAAAGCTTTTCATCGGATGAAAATTTTAAAAAACGATATTTTTAAAACTTTTTTCCTTAAATAACCGTTGGCTGCATAAAATATAAATTAAAATCACACATATGGATCACCTATCACCAACTTATATTTGACTTAATGAATTTGAAGTACAAACTGTGTAACGTACGTTTTTATGCAATCAGCTTAAAAAAACAAGGACCTGTCGTTTTTTTTTCGTTGGACTAAGACAGAAATATATAGACACAGTGTGAATCGACATTTTAGGTTAAAATAAAATAAATACATGTATTAAACCAGTGGGAGTACAACGGAGTGACATATCTTCCTCTTTCACAATGTATAGTTTGTATTTTTTGGTGGAGTTTTTATTTTTACAAAATTTTTACGATTTTTTTCCTTTTGAACTCATGATAAAGCAAGTTCAATGAATATAATTTGCGAAAAAAAATGTCCAACAAGCACCGGAGTTAAATATCGGGGTGGGGGGGTCCTCTCCACAAGTACATGTGACTTACATGTACATGTATATGACCTCCGGGCTGCAAAAAATGATGGAAGCTTCATTTCTTTAGAATCAGACGTAAAATTTTTCAATTCAACATTATTTATACATTTAAACACACAGGATTTTATATAAATTGCGATTATGGTACATGTAGTCATCGTATCTAAGTAACGTCATATAATGGATACGCGCCGCAATGCATTTAAACGTTTCTCTAATAAAGATATTTCAGATTAACAAACAAATTCACATTTAAATAATTTTTTTTCCAGATTTCAGATGTATCGTAAACTCACTTTTTTTCATTATTACATGTAAGTCCTCTGTCAAAATACTTAGAACAATACAATAAGACAAAGTGTTCATATCGCTTTACATAACAGATAAACGCATTCCTTTTCGGATTCGTGCGTTTTTTGTAATTCCTGACCTCTGCTGATAATTCAATGATCCATTACCCTCCCAAAAATCGCTGAAACCGTACGAAACATGAATCTTATTTACATTTTTTTTCATTATGAGTTCCATTTATTATCGTAACTTTCTCTGTTTTGAAGTAAAAATTTTTGAATGTTACACAGTCAAACGCAATGTTTATAATTTGAAATAGTAATGACGTCATTAAATTTTCACAGTAAGATAAGAAAAGGGCGTAAATTTTGTCTTTTGAAATTATTGGGCGATTAGTTGTGCTTTGGATACTTTTCAATATGTAATGTTTTTCATATTAAAAATTATTCTTAAAATTGTTCAATTAAGTTTTGACGCGACGACACCCCCTATGATTTATGTTTTAGATCTCAATAAAATAAACTTGATTAATTTAACATTATCAAATAAATAATTCTGTGTTAATCAAATTTATTCATATGCATCTTGTGATATATTATATTTGAAATATTACGGCAAATATAAAAGATGGTGACTGGTCGAACCCACCGCTTATTCTTTGGGACTGGTATTGTTGTGCGTCGCCATTGCTACGGTTGATATTGGAACCATTAATGTAACTTGGATGGCATGTAAAAGTTGAAATCACGGTTTGTTCAGAACCGAGTAATTTAGGAAGTCTTTGTGCATGAAATGTGTATGTAGATTCATTGTTTTGAATGCTGCTATAAAGTGGGGAAGACTAGCACAGCGAATTAGGATTTGGGAGCACTGGCATTGAAACTTTACAAAGTACCTCTTAAAGTTATAGTGAAAACATTTATACGCTAATGTGTTAGTGTGTAATGAAATGGGTCGTAACCTTCTGAGACATATAGAGTAGCCTCAAATCTGAATCAACAGTCACTCCAGAAGCTGGTAAGGTTGGTGGCCTTGCAAAGTTCAAACAAGGCATCATACTGAAACCAAACTTTCGTCGACGCCCCCTCCCGATGCCCTTATCATACATTTTGTGTATATATTTTAATGATTCAACAGACTTAGAGGGGTGTGCACCCACAAGAATAGATGCAAATATGTGCATTGTATCAGTCCAGTTTTCAATGAAGTACACTTAACTGATAGCATCTAATAGTTATTATGTCCCAGCCCTTTTAAGGACAATATCTTTTTTGGATGTAGCATTTCCTTGACCCTCACATGGTGGCAGGGGTAGAGTTCAATGAATTTACCATGTAAATTATTTTGTTTACTTGAATGTTTTTCATGCAAGCCAAAGTCATGTATAGATAGCAAAAGTATGATTTTATTACCTTCTCCCATCTGCTGTGGGTTGCGACCAAATGTTTGAAACAATGGCAGAGGATCTGATAGTTGAAGCCCTTGGTGTGGAGCTTTTGCTGGATGCAGATATGGCCCTGAGGACGGTAAATATCCAAAGTAAATAATCTTTAATATGATGAGCCGATTACCTATTAATACGAATTTGCTTTCACTGCTATACATTTTTCAGAAAGTAGGTATATGTGTAATTTTATACTACATTCAAACCAATAGTTCAAATTGAAATTATGTTTACACACAGATAATTTTACCTTTAAACGTATTGTAGAATATGCTCTCTTTAAGGCTCAAATTGACCTTTTGAAGAAGCAGTGAGAAGTAAAACTCAAATCTCTGGGTCATTTATTAGAAATTTTGTGATATCATAATATTGTTAACCTATTATATCTAGCGTATAAAATATTTGGTGGGAATCAAAATTTTATTTAAAAGATACTGGAAATCAGATTCAGCGTATCTTTTATATTTTATTATTTTATGTGCATGTGCAAGACTTTTGCAAGTCACAAGAGGTGGTGAAAATATTTTTTTTTTATTATTCACCGTAGGATTGCAATAATTTGAGTCTTGCGACGTAATTTTCTTGCACAGATGTCAAATGTGGAGTCCTTGTTACATGCAAATTTGCAAAAAATAAATAAATAAATAAAATATTTCAGCCAACGAATGACATTTAAATCAATTTTTGTCTCCTACTGGAAAAACCAGAGGGTCTATAGGTTTCTTCTGAATTAAGCCGTTCATCTACTCAGAATCTATTCTTCCGTGCGTATGTCTGTATTTCAGTCTGTCCCACTTGGTTTTTAGCACATTTTTTTCTAAAAGCTTGCAGATATTGGGGTGTTTTTGGGGTATGTAAGAGTGTATCTTGATTAATTACAGATCAAATTTGCATTTCTTTCCTATTTATTGCAATTGATTTTTGACGGAATTATTGGATATTTGGATTTATGATCGGGATCGTGTTGCACTAAATATAATTTATTTGAAATTTTCTGTGTACCTTAATAGTGACAAACCTTAGATCAAGTTTAATTTAAAAAAAAAAAATTAACCATGCATGTAAAATGAGCTTATTTGATCAAAGCATGTATGTTTGTTTAATGGCATTCAAATATGTCTTTCCTGGTGAGGCAAATCGATATTTCATTGAAATTTCATAAAGAAGTATTTACTGAAATGGCCACATTTTGTTGGCCCTTTTCACAAACATGTTGCAATCACTATTGAAATAATTATATCAATAGTGGTTGAGAGTGCATTTCAATAGCAAACATAGTTAGTAACCACTATTGAAATACAACCATTATTGAAATAATTATATCAATAGTGGTTCAGAGTGCATTTCAATAGCAAACATAGGTAGTAACCACTATTGAAATACAACCACTGTTGAAATAATTATATCAATAGTGGTTGAGAGTGCATTTCAATAGCAAACATAGTTATTAACCACTATTGAAATACGACCACTATTGAAATAATTATATCAATAGTGGTTGAGAATGCATTTCAATAGCAAACATAGTTAGTAACCACTATGGAAATACGACCACTATTGAAATAATTATTTCAATAGTGGGTGAGATTCATTTCAATAACAAACATAAGTTGCAACCACTATTAAAATAATTTTCACTTCTGAAATAAAGATTTCAATGTGGATAAAATGATGGTTTTAGTTTTGAAGCATTTTCAGCAACAATTAAAATAGTTATTCAAATCATTTTTGAAATTATAATTTCACTAACTATCTAAATCTTCATTTAAGGACAGATGATACAAACAAAATATGAATGCCTGGATTGGTATATATTTTTTGGTCTGATTTCATTGAAAATGATTCAAATAATAAATTCCTAGAATATAAAGAAATTGTAAACCTTCTGTGATGTTCAAAATTCTGCCTCACTAAAACCATCCTTATTAATTTGTACACTTTATTTATCAATCTATATATTTTTCATTCCAAATCCAATTTTTGTGAAAGTTTGGATACAAAATTTAAAATTACGCGGTGAAACTTTTTCTGATATAATTATTTCAATAGTGGCCGTCTTTCAATGCTGGTTATTACCAATGTTTGTTATTGAAATACACTCTCACCCACTATTGAAATAATTATTTCAATAGTGGTCGTATTTCAATAGTGGATAATAGCTACGTTTGCTATCGAAATGCACTCTCGACCATTATTAATATAATTATTTCCATAGTGGTTGTATTTCAATAGTGGTTACTAACTATGTTTGCTATTGAAATGCATTCTCAACCACTACTGATATAATTATTTCAATAGTGGTTGTATTTAAATAGTGGTTACTAATTATGTTTGCTATTGAAATGCATTCTCAACCACTATTGATATAATTATTTCAATAGTGGTTGTATTTAAATAGTGGTTACTAACTATGTTTGCTATTGAAATGCATTCTCAACCACTATTGATATAATTATTTCAATAGTGGTCGTATTTCAATAGTGGTTACTAACTATGTTTGCTATTGAAATGCACTCTCAACCACTATTGATATAATTATTTCAATAGTGGTCGTTATTTCAATAGTAGTTGCAACACAGGATCCTATACGATGACACCCTAAAGAGAAATTAGAATAACAGACCATTAATATTAAAAAAAAGGGTATCTAGAAATCAATAAGATTTACAAATATTTATTGAATAAATAATTACATTTTTAAAAAAGCATCCAGGGGATCGATTCATTTCGGACACAAGTCATATATTATTGAATAATTTCATGTGAAATCATATATAATATTTAAATTGATGAAAGAAGAGTTTCATTCAATTTTTTACATTTAAAATAAACTTACATCCTCCTGTTGCCATTGCAGAGTCTTTTGATATTTTATATGGTGTGGTTGGATGTCAAAGGGCAATCGATATGAAAGCTTTTCTATTTTTGCAAATCTAAGAAACAACAAAACTTATTTTTAGCAAGTATTCAAACCGTATTTTTCATTATCAGAACTAAGTGAACGACGCGAACTGCTGTCAAAGGATTGAAGAAACGATAGATATAATATAAAGAGTATCTCTGTGACATATAACTCCTAGAACTTACTGAAGTGTGATGCACCACACACCTAATGTTAACGTCATAGAAATATGACATTTTCTTGTCCCCGTACGCACTTTATAACGCAGTACAATTTTCTCTAAAATTTGGTGTAACTAATTATTACGTAATATTTAATTAGATTATAACTTGTCTTACATGTACTTTATTATATTAGATTCTCCAAAGTCTGAAATACAGGGGATTTGCATAAAATTTGAAGATTAAATGCACATTTAAAAGAGCTTGAAAAATGCATGATTTCGGGGAAACGGTATATGCGTGATTTTGCGTTAAAATAGGAAATGGTATAGACATGACTGCAGGGAAGGGGTTAAAGTCATCATTTGATTCGTTGTTAAATTTCGCACAAAAACAAAGGCCAAACATTTGATCCAGTGATATGATATTTTCCTTGACAGGGTCATTGATACAACCATTAGATTTACAAAATACTGAATTTTAACAAGGTTGTTGAAACGCCTGTAACATCAACTAATAGGTATCTGTCAGTAACCTGCTTCCATTTAAACTTTGGTATCAAATACTCAGTAAGTTTGTAGACGTAAACATTATAAAGAAATGAAAGCTCAGGTCACCCTTTTGTCATACAATTTAGGTTTTAGGGGGTCTTTATTGTCTATAGTCAATAGAACGTGCAAACATGAAGAAGCAGGCGAGGAAAGCAAAAGAAGGAAATAAAATTTTTCCACATATGAAATAAAAACAATCGTATGATGTATATTCCCTTTTATTTTTAAACAGAGGTCTACTCTATATGACTTTCTTTTCAAATCTTTGGAAGTGATAAAGAAGAATACCAGTAAAATATTCACTCCAATTTATAAACATGGTCGTCTGAGAATAGGATATATACACGTTAGAGGGATTTTTCTTTAAATCCTCTTTAAATACATCAATTGGCCTTACAAACAAATGTACGGATGACATACATGTAGTAACTCACCTTTTCCGAAAAACCCTTTCATTGTTTGATAATGATCCCGTTTTATATACATGTATGATTACTAATTTAAACATTGCTGATAAAATGTTTAATCAACTTTCGATAGAATGAGTTAGATGACTGTCAATATACTGCCCTTGTAAGAATCACGTGCTAAAACCCCCATGATCAATTTAAGTCTGATTAAGTGTTATAAAAACAATATATCCATCAATTTAACTTACTGATTTTTTTTTTTGATATTTTAACATTAGCTATATTCAGAAATGAAAAGTGAATAGTTGGAATATTTATAATATTGTTTATCTAAAAATATATAAGGTTGTTTAAGATACTTTAAGGATTATTCCTCAATATTCGAATGAATATATATTTGAATGAATATATATAGTAATTTGCAAATTAAAACTGATCAAAAAGAGTCCATTAAAATGATAAACTTAGATGAATACATGTTGTGTAATACATTTGTAGATATTTGCAAATTCAAAACTCTCATAATCTCATTTCCCAAGTTTATTCTACACAACATTGTTTTTTTCTATTTATTCTCAACAACGTCGAAAAAATGTATGAGATATATTTGAGAATATATTAAATTAATTTTAAATTTTAAAACCACATTTAAAAAAACAAAAGATTAAACAAATCAAACATTTCAAATATTAAACATTCATTACTTGAACTTAGGTGTGGCAGTTCAGCATACAGTATGAATGACTCGTACATACTAAAAATTACAGTGCCCATTATTTTAACAATCTTAAATACAATTTATTTAACGTAATAATATTTCGAAATATATATACATTTTATATTGGGAATTGCGTTTATTTAAACCATTTCCTACTTAATGATGACAAAAAAAAATTGTAAAATGTGATGAAAAAAAATCATAATACACTAAAATACTTGTTATTTAAAGGTCTATCCATCTATAAATATTAAAACAAGGCCAGTAAGATAAAGAAATATAGATAACGAAGAGTGTTTAAGTTCCAAATTCCATCTGAACAATACTAATTAAAAGCAGAGCATACACGTTCCTCTACAATGATCATAGCTTTATCACATGACATAAGTTGTGTTTTGAAGAACTTGTTTATATAATTAAATAAGATTATTTAATCAATAATGCAAATACATGTATTTGCAGAGACTTAATTTTTACCATAAAGATGACGTTAAGTACGTTCATAACTATGCATACGCTTGCAATGTGATATTAGGATTTACACACAATCACCGTTGTTATACATAAATCAGATGACTATACTGATTACTTTCATTTCATATAATACTAATGATATCAAAAAGCATGAGAATCATGAAAATGTCATTATGTAATAAGTAATGCAAATACATGTACCTGCACAAACTAAATTTTTATCATACAGGAAAAGCTGAAGAATATAACTATACATTCATTTGCTATCTGAGACCGTGGGGTTTGCCTATAATCACAGTTGCTATACATAAATGAGATAATGATACTGATTACCTTCATTTAATATTATACGAATAATATCAAAAAGCATGATAATAATGAAAATTTCTTACAGATAAAAGCTATTTCCTTACAACACATAAGTAGAATGCATGTACAAATATTCATATAACTTATACATTTTTGATACGTTTTTCTTAACTTCTTGTTGACGTAGGTGATTTATTGGTGACTTTCTTTTTCTCTCTCTGTATTTTTTTTTTTTACCAAAGTCGGTATACGAGGGGTTATCAAAAAGATCGTGGACTGAGGCTATAAAATTAGTGCTATGTAGTCTGCGCTTTCAAAATTGATATGGAACATAAAGCAACACAAACTAAAGAAATGTTGAAAATTTTAGCCTGATATGTTCATTACTTGCCAAATTATTATAAAATGAAAACAACATAATATGATCACCCGGCGCTGTCGTCGTTTATTTTCATGACGTTCGATAACGTCATTGTTTTTTCAATGTCCTCTTCTTATACCTCTTACACTTTTTTGATGAGATTTCCTGAAGCTAAGCAAGGACTTAAACCCGCCTTGTTTATATGACTTTACAATGTCATGAACAGTGGCCTTCAATGAATATAACATTCCAGATGGATTAATACATTGGGAGAGATGCGCGCTTGATTGTGCCGGAATATTTTGCTTTTGGGAGTTCAATATCTACAACACATGATCAACGTCATTTTTGACGGGATTGATTTTTCCCACCTTGACTGCAAATCGACATTAACTGTGTATCCTTTTTGTCTCTGAATCTTTTTTGACATTAAAAGACAAGTACTCTGGATGCATTTTATTTCGCTGTAGCCAGTTTTAACATATTTTAGGTCTATGCTATTTTTTCAGGGGCAAAACTTTATAGAATGTTCGAAAAGGAAATCCTCTCCCCTTTTGACGTCATTTTCAAGGCCTTATTTGTTTGAACACTCCATTTAAATTTACGATAAAATTTCATAGAACTTCCAGAATGAAGTGAAAATTTCATATTTTATAGAACAATTTTGTCCCGACACATACCTGAATTAACGGAATTATTGGATGTCAAATAATCATGTCAAATGAGTTTTTCTCAGTTACACATAGGTCGAAAAAACGTTGTTTTCGAGGTTGCGCCGCCTGGACATACCATTGCTTACAAAAACCTTACTAATTTATCAAAAAATAAAATTCATGATTTGTGGTTTATTCTTTTGATAGAAAAGATGATGCTAACTAGATATTTCAAAATTCATAGATGTACCTTAAGCGGTTTTAATTTTATGGCGCTAGTCCACGAATTTTTTGATAACCCCTCGTATATATACATAACACTCAGTGTACACTTTTTCATATTAATTTTAAACATTTGGACATTAAATACTAACCTATATATGTTATCCTACTTTATATGTGTATATATTTACAAATCTAATTTTCTAAAGAGCCAGGTTCACTTTATGCCAACTATGGCCCTGTCTTTATATCAATTGATAAACGATCACCCTCCTTACCATTGCATATATCAAAAAAGTAGAGACTTGGTGATTTCGTTTCCTAGAATAGAATTTCTTTTTTTAAAGAATCTGAATACTGGAAAACAGGTTTTGAGAAAATGCAATATTCTTGAATATTTTAGAAGAAGGATATGTATAGAGATAACAAACACTATTCAATATCAAAGTCAATAAAATGATTAAAAATTGGAGCAGAGCAAACACGGACCTCCGAAACATCAGAAATTGGATCAGGTGCCATGGAGGAGTGAGCATCCCCTTCTGACCGGTCACACCCGCCGTGTGCTCCTTGTCATGATAGGGAAAAAATGGAAACATCCGTCGTCAATTCAGTGTATAAATAATGGACTAACAATTAGTATAAAACGTCAGTCAGCATGTGACTGAATGATAAATTGTATTTGCTGACAAGGTCATTGTATCGACCATAGAACTAACGAAATGATGACTTAAAACGAGACTGCTGATATTTTTGTTTCATCAATTTGCTTGTCAATAATTTATCTCGTGTTAGAAATTTTTCATACGTAGAGCATACTCTTGCGTATCGAATCAATGAGATATATACACTCCGTATGCAGGTGATGAAGGTATATTGCTGCATAAGTAAGGGAAGTTGACGATAGAAAAGTAAAATTCATCACGTTTATCATATAGCTTAGTTGTTAGATAATCATTAACGTCTTTATCAAGTAAAATATCTAAGTATAAAACAGATGTGTAAGACTTTGTGGTATCTGTTATCTCAAGCTTACCGGGATATATTGCATACAATAAAAATTACCATTGTTTATTTACAAGACGTCGTCAATATATCTAAATGTCGAGTTGCTGGCCACACCAACAGTTTTTTTTTCTTTTCACGCAGAAGATTTTGCACAAATTTTGCTTCATTTGAACCGATGATATTT